GTGGTAGTTTGTCCAGGTAAGGTTGTAGCTGTTTGTCCAGTTGTGGTAGTGGTAGATTGCCAAGGTAAGGTTGTAGCTGTTTGTCCAGTTGTGGTAGTGGTAGTTTGTCCAGGTAAGGTTGTAGCTGTTTGTCCAGTTGTGGTAGTTTGTCCAGGTAAGGTTGTAGCTGTTTGTCCAGTTGTGGTAGTTTGTCCAGGTAAGGTTGTAGCTGTTTGTCCAGTTGTGGTAGTGGTAGATTGCCCAGGTAAGGTTGTAGCTGTTTGTCCAGTTGTGGTAGTGGTAGTTTCTCTAGGTAAGGTTGTAAATGTTTGTCCAGTTGTGGTAGTGGTAGTTTGACCAGGTAAGGTTGTGGCTGCTTGTCTTATTGTGGTAGTGGCAGGTTGTCCAGTTTGTAAGGTTGTGCGAGTGGTTGTACTTTTAACAGTTGTGGAAGCTGTTCCTCCTGGAGATGAACTGCTTCTAAGTATATCAAAAGCAGCTATGGTGGTGATGGTGGTGGTGGTGGTTCCAGGCATGGTGGTTCCTGGCTTGGTTGCCGTAGTAACTGAAGTTTGGGTCGCGCCCTGGGCAATGGCGAAACTTATACCATGGCCTGAAATTGACGAAAAAGAACACCGTGTTTTTTTGATCTTGGGGAAATAGCCGCTGCCATTTTAAATATGTATCCTGTGCTTCACGCTTATTGCAAACTATCCAAATTCACATGTCCATTTGTTCTTATTTCTATTTTCTTGAACATGACAAAACTTCCTTTATAATAATGGTTTTATTTTTGTTTTATCGTGATGAATAATGTCATTGCGGTTGACCATTAACTTTATTTTGTATGAGAATCGGCCATTTCAGTTCTGTGAAACAAATTCATACTACTCTTTGTGGTAGATTCCCATCCCCGTGCTTCCTTTTGTTTGTGAGAGAAATATTATATAGTCAGGCAAATAAACGTCGTGGTCAACAGAGATAAGTCAACGGCGTGGTTTCTAAATTCAATGGCTATAAAATGATTAGGTGCATGTGTTCCTCAGGGCTACAATAAGCACATTTAGTGATGGTTTATATACATTTTCGAATAAGTTCTCAAATGAAATATCAGAAGATAATACACGTACATTTCCTTATTTTTATTTAGAGAACTGTTTTACTCCTTGCCCCACGAAATCCCTTGGGGTTGTCTTGTGAAAACTGTCAAGTATGCTAGTCTTTGAAATAGATGGAATTGCTTCCGTCGTGACAAAAACCAAAACACGGATAGTGCAGCAAGCATTCCATCTTTCATTTTGACAATATAAACCAATAATAAAATTCCGTGTATCTTTCAATTTTATGAACTGGTGTACTGATTGTTGACTACTGAGATACCTTTGTAAATTTTTTTCCACAGGATACGAAAATGTCGAAAATATTACTTAAAGAAATGGTGTTATGAGGGGAGTCCTGTGGAATGGGAATTATAATAATATTTTTGCAATCAAATATTAGATTATTCAACAGTGAATGAGAAAAAATACTGTAATACTAGAGTATATACAAAGACGATAAAAAAGAACTGATTTCAGAAATGCAAACTAAGTGAAACTTTTACTGAAAGGTTAATTATAAATTATTAAATTTGACAGTTTCCAAAGGACAGAAGTATTAATGGATTCCACAATTATAAGGTTTGGCTGTTTGGATTTCTGAACACTGGTGGCTAAAATCGTTTATTCTATTTCGGTAAAAGGTAGGGGATACCATGGTCTCCAGTAGTCAGGGACACATTTCACTGGAGGCGTACTAATCGGTGTTGGGTATGTGAAGTGCTTCCTGACGTGTTCTTTCGGGATATGTTTTTAAACTGTTTCCCTACTCTTCCTCAGCCGTTTTCTGTGCACTATAGGGGAGCTGATGCGCCCCGAACTTAAAGTTACCTAACACAAAAAATAGACCTTTGATGGTATACACTTGTAACTTCTTACCTGAAACGACTAGAAGAACGCACAGCCACGCGACAATCATGTTTGAGAACTGTGGGTAGTGTCGTATTTCATCAACCTAAAATGAAACAAAATTTTGAATAGAACTTCTTTTTAGCACATAAAATCAACACTTATTGTATCAGGAGCTCGAAATTAGGACAGGCACTAAACGTGACATCAGGTTCCGCCAAAAGATAAAGTGTACCCAATTTGAATGTACGGTGTAATGATATGTTTAGCAGGGACAACAATAACGACTTCGTCGTCCATAACTTCGAATTTATGTCAAGCTCCGGCTTGGCATTTAAACATTGCGGTCTTCTACACGTGAAGGCTTGCGGTACCCTTAAACGAAAGTAACAACCGTTAAATAAAGGAAACGCCCGAAGCAGGGACATAACGCGACGCTTACTATTTCCTATATGCTACACTGCAGCAGAAGTATTCAGGGATGCAAATCACATTTCCTGGAAGTATCTGTACAAAACAAACTGCGTTCCCCGTCATGTCATTCATACACTTTCTATGTCACTTCACCGCCCGCCCCGCCCCATCAAACTGTTTTAGAGAAATAGTGACTACGCACTCCTCAATGCACAGGTGAGACATAACGGGTAGACATAACCCGTGAAAAGATTCACACCATTCCTAATTCATCGCCGAACAAATACGAGATACGATTGATTAAGAAAGGCTTACTGATCCATTTTGTTGTATAGATACATGTACATGTAAAAACTGTTCATAAAATGAAAAAAAAATGCCACTTACCGCTGTCTCTTCCCTGTGTGAGAATCGCTTTTCCACCGATCCTATTTTATAAAGTGTTTTGAAGCCAGTTCAAACGTCACTTGGGTGTCCTAGTCCGTGACGAAATCAACATATTTTTTCGATCATGATTCACTGGATTATACCAAAAACACGTGCTTTCAGTCTAAATCCTTCTACGCCGTCACCGCGAAGGCTCGTGACTCTGCTCATGCGTCTACGTTGAGGCTTTATGACCTCAGCTTTCTCCGTCAAAGGTGTGGACAATTGTCAAGTTGGTTTGACCCGGTTTACTTCCTAGTTAGAAAACTAGGTGGTCTATAGAGCTTTCAGTGCGTTCTTTACTCGAGGGTTGAGTAAACGCACACCTATATTATCCCATGAATGTTGACTTTGCAGCTTGCTTTGTATATGAACCTAACTACCTTGAACCGATGACATGTAATCGAATCTAGGGCACATATCTTGACGCCTCGCTCGAAGAGTTATGACAACGTAACTAGAGCGTGTGTACCGGTCGGATAGTCTGTCTGTACAGTCGCACGTCCCAGTGTGATGGCGGGCAGTGAACATTATGTTTTGCCAAATAAAGTACAGTTTCTTTTATTGCTAGGTTGTGTAGATCAGATCTGTGTACATATTAGGGAAGGGTTATTTTTTTTACATGTATGTATGAACACAATGGAGAAGAAATGACCACACGTCCCCCTGTTGCGATGCGATAAAAATGATTAATGTCCTCTCATTAGTCAAACATGACCGGGGTGAGTTACTTTTCTTCTTCTTCTTTCGTACAGTCTGCATGTGGGGTTTGCTGTTTCAATCATTGCTTTTTGTTTACAAATTGAATTTAACGGTTCATACCGGGAAAGTAGATCAATGCTAATTCTATTACTTTTCCCATTCCTTCATTCTAGCCGTCTGCTAACCTGTGAACTGTGACTTTGCATGTCAATATACTCTTGTTTTCCTTTTCTAGCACACCTACACTCGGATTCACTATTGAGTATAGTTTTGTGTTTGAACTAATTATGAAAAAAAAAATGCAACTTAGGGGCGAACAGTATTTTAATTCACACGTAAAATTTACGATCGTTTCTTGTAGGAGACAAGGTTTATTCACAACATAATGTGAGAAATTTTAAGTAAAAAGTTATAAGTATTAGGCCAACTCCTAACATCTATGAAATAAATGAAATAATGCACTTGCCATATATCTTTCGACTACTTAGGTGGATATATATATATATATATATATATATATATATATATATATATATATATATATATATATATATATATATATATATATATATATATTTTTTTTTTTTTTTTTTTTAAATAGAAAGCACATGTTAAGAAAAAAGGAACAAATGAAGTCAATTTTAGCTATGATAAGATATAAGTATTTAAGTTAAACAATTTCTTTATGTGGAAAATATGAGGTAATTGAAAATCGCCATTTTCCCCATATTTTCAATTAGCTACAATTTTTTCAACGCATTTATATTGTATTTCCACTGTTTCCTTTAACTTAAAATAAAAAACGGCCTTTTTTTCTGACGAAATGGACCCCCCCCCCCTCTCCTCTTTCCCACCACCACCAATATGCGGAGTAGCTAAAACATTTTTTAAAAAAAGTGTTGATTCAAACAAAAGTTTACAAATCCACCTACAACACATATTGATTCATATCAAGTTTCGAATGAATGGAAAAGACGGGTGGCTTGTCCATTTTTGAGTATAAATAATTCACCTTGCAAATCATACTACATGTAGGTCGACAAAGATAACGATTATCTCTGAACGTCCATCCTCAGACCGAAGTTCAATAATATCCAATCAACACTAAGGGGGGAGTGGATAAGATGGCAATATTAAAACGCCATTAGGTGGTGCATCCTCGACGTTGTTGAAACCTAGTTTATAGATGATTTTGAGAAGTTCTACATGTAAGCCATGATCCGTGAATATAGGTAAGATAGGCTAGTTAGATATGGTGTGCCTTCGGTGTGTGCTGTCTATGGTAGAGTGTTTTGGTAAATTAGAAGATCCAACTCACACTTTATCAGGCTGACATATTTACACTGGATTAATACCACATTCAAACTACATTCATTTTCCCGAATGGGGGAATGAGGAATAAGTGTCTTGTCTCTTTTGCCCACCCTGAGTTTCATACGACACTAGAAACACTTCTCCGCCATCCACGTTTCTGTCGTACCCAGTATTTGCTAGTGGGAACAGCAGAAGTCTGCTTACGGCATAGAAGTGAATTTCCAGTGTCACAGGACACTCGAGGTGCCTTCACATTCCCATTCTTTTAAAAATTCCCAAGATCCGCCCCCACTTGCGCCGTAATCTTGTGTAGGTTAAATAAGTAATCAGTACTCGTGGATAAGTTTTTAGACAGGCTTTAATATGAAATGACAATTTATTCAATGTGTAACTCTTTAGGTTAGATATTGACATAGATACTCGAGCAAAAAGCGTTTATCTATCTATATTACGAAGAGCCACCAAATGGAGATTGCAGAATAAACGACTATGAATGCTTGACAATAATTTAACCTTATAGTGGTAAAGTAAACTATGTTGATTTGGTGTTGTTTCAGTTTATTTTGTGCTGCATTCATCATTGCCTTGTTATTTACGAGATGTTACTCTGAAACGGACTCATATACTTGTCCTTCCGATTCAGGAAAAAACTCTTCAGTTATTATAGGTATCTATACGATCTCTCTCTCTCTCTCTCTCTCTCTCTCTCTCAAGTAATCCGCAGCCTACACTATACATTTCAATCAATATATACTTTCTACTCGCTGGAATAAAAACCTAACTGTACGCTTCAGTAACTTTTTAAAACCCTGTCTACTATATATATGCACTTACCTTCCTCCATCCCTATTTGTGCTTGCTGTACGTGGTAAATTCTTACTTATATATTTTACTCTTTTTTATGGTTTTTATCATTACATTTTGATTATAGTCTTAAATAGTATTTAATTCTTATTCATTTACTCGTTTATTAATTTTTGGCCCTATTCCCAATCATAGGCGTCATTTTGCCGGTTCTGCCTGAGGTTTACTACGTCCAAGTTGAATGTAACATTGTCAACAAAAACCTTACCATACGGGCACAGGAATACTTTGACGGGCCAAATGGCCGAGCGTTAATGATACTGACCAAACAATCAGCCACCAGTTATTACTTGTTCCAGTACACCGTTGATCAACTTGTGACGTGGACAGAGGGTGAGGTCTTTATTTTCTGTTTTTTTTTTTTTTTTTTTCTTTTTTTTTTTTTTTTTCATCAGGCTTAAGTTAACTAAAAGTAAGGACTTCTTATCTATTTCTTCCAATGGCTTGGCTGAAGCGACCAGTGATTTAAGTCATACATGTATATTAAAATAGCAGCATACAATGCGTTCAACACTTTATATTAGGTTGCTAATTAAAGATTGATTTCAAGGTATTATGCCTCAATTCTTTAATTATCCTGACTTTGTGGAAAATAAAAGTATCATAAGTTAGTTTTAAGGGATGCGCTTTTAGATGGAAGTTGCACCACTTCGAAGCTGGATCAGAACGCCGTCGCCAATTTAATCGGCTACGTACCCGTCGCCCATGGTGTGCATATCCCATCTGCCAGAGATGTGTTCAAATTTGGAAGAAATTTCACTCAGGTTGAAACCACCATTTGTTTTAGTTAAAAGATTTGAGGTTAATAAATGTACTCTTTTAAAGTTTATTCGAACTGTTATGGTTTAAGAATGTACAGGGTCCTGTGGTTCCAAATCTGTGTAATTCGCTTATACTCTTTTTCTACTCCCCCCCCCCCCACACTTTCCATGTTTTAAATAGGAAATTTTTGTCTCAGTGAATAAATGTGTGATATTTCGTTTAGACTAACCTCTTTTCCTTTAGTAAAACATAGCCCCTGTGTTGCCTTCTTCTTAAAATTATCATTTGATTTTCGCCTTTCCAGACGTTCGAAGGTAAAGCCAGAGTCCGCGGCATTCCAGTGGACCATTGGAAAAGCTGCCAGGAGTGGTCTGCTATGAAAGCCAACTACACCTTAGACTATTACTTCACACGTTAGTTAAAACAATGTATTATCGAAAAACTGAGAAAACTAATAGCAATAAGGATTCAATTTTCTTTAAGGACGATTAATTTCTGAATTCAGTCATGGTTGTTTTTGCGCCTATGCTCATTAAACTGAATGGGAAATAGGATACGAATCTTGAAAAGTAGATTAAATTATTGTTGCCCATTTTACAGGTTATGGTAATTGGTTGCCAGCGTCAGAAAATGCCAATATTCAGAGTCCAGTGAGAGCAGAAGTCGCCGGCGTAATCACCAATGGCGATGGTTCAATAAATCACAGTTTTCACCATGTTTACGAGTATCACAGTTTTACAGAAACCTTACCTAAAGACCCGGATCCGTTCCAGGTAAGGTATTTTGCTCTTTTAACTTTTTTTTTAATTCGGGTCCTATTAATAATTTATGCATTATGTGCAACCTAAAACCCCGGTGTAGCGTGACAGAGAGTCCCCCATGATAGAGTCCGCTTTCCATTCATTTGTACAGGTAAGCCTCGCCTTAGATTTTCATCTACTCAGGTCAGGCTAACCCTAACCATTATAGCAAAACAGAGGGCGGACTTTCAGTTTCGTTACACCAGCACTGTACAATGTAGTTGTAAAGCCACTGCGTAAATCTTCAACTGCTATATCTGTCGCATACCGTCTTTTTGGTCCATACATATGTGGCTAAGTTAGAGGTTTGAAATCCCTTTGTTTCGGAAGGTAAAACTTCAGTACGAGTGACAAGTTCTTTTGGGTTTCAGCTCCCAGCAGGTCTCTACTGCCCGGGCTACATTCCCGTCTTCACCCGACCATTCCCGACTATTCCCGAAATGTTCGTCCTCTCCACGGAAACCATTCTCCCTAACGGCAGAGAAGTGATCTACACTAAGGTATTTATCATCCATTTTATTGAAAAGTTAGTCACGTCAAGTTTTTTATCATAAAATCATATCATGTTCTATTACTTTTAAGAAACATTCTACGCCTTGCAGCTTATTTTTAAATAAACTCGGTTTTATTTGATATCAAAGCACTTAGCGTTTATTTTCAAAGTCAGTCTTATTTGCCTTATTTGCTTCAACTGATGAAATTTTCTTTTTATTTTCAGATGTGGTACAGTATAACGGACAAAATAGTAAGAGTTTCAGAGAAATTCACATCCGCCAACTCAAACCCTGTATCAACTGTATATGATTTTGACAGAGGTAATTTTTTCTTTTTATGATTTTCACTTTACTATTAGTATTCTGTTTCTAAAATGACGGTTTAGTAGAATTGATGCATTTGTGAAATGTAATTTTTGCTTAGTATGTATAGATGGCCCAACCAGTGTGTATACAGTACATCCGAGGTGATGATTATCGGAGTGGGAGGGGATGTGAAATTTATTTTCACATCTAATGATCAGAGTGAAAAAAATACAAAAAACGTTATATCTTACAGGTTTGTCGTATACGATTGATGACCTCACGGGAAACTGCAAGGTCGGTTTTGTAGAGCCAGACAGCCCACTTTCGGCGCCAAACAGCGGTGCTCAGCTGCGAATGATAAGCGCCAAGGAGTATTTTTTTGCAGAAATCGAACCCAGTGAAATTTACTACACGGGCACGGTAATATCTTCAAAATACATTTAACTTAATGTAAAAAGAACTTAGCTCAAATTTTGTGTATATTTAACCGAAGCATTTCAGACTGAATCTTACGTTTAATTGTTGACTAAGCAACATAGGATAGCATTATAAAACAACTGTGAAAAAAGCTCTTTACTCAAATTTCTTACAGCGCGTGGTTCGAGGTGTGACGTGTGATACGTGGATTGGTCAGTATAAAGATGATGCCACAGGGAAAACGTACATCGTAGAGTGGTACTTCACAGAGGTGTGTTGAAGTTATTGTTTCTTCGCTCTTTTTGCATTTTAAAAGCCGTAAAGTATCATCAGATTCGTTAATTATAAGTGCTATTTCATGATTTAAAAATCTCTAACTTGGTTTTAACAGATAATAGCTTAAAATTCAGAGGCGGATCCAGGATTATTTGAAGGGGGGGGGGGCAGTTTTTTTTTTTTAAGAATGACAGGCCTCGGATGCGAAGCCGACCCTTGCCCCCTTGGTGTGGGGTTCGGTGTTTTGGAAGGCAAACGGGCGGTTTAGAACTATGATTCAGCTCTTCAAAATTCTATTATCAAGAGATGAATATTGATGTGATTTTTTCCAGAAACCGAAGGAGGGCCAGGACCCCCCGACATCCCCCCAAATCCGCCACTGAAATTACTCCGTCTTTTTGTTAATGACAAGTATTTCTGAAATCATTTCAATATAACATCATACATCCGTTTTTTTTTTCAAACTATCAATAGCACAGTAATAATAACTGGCTCTGTTTTTAAAGTTATTTGAAATGTTTTTTTGCACTACATAGGCCATGTGGTCTGTTATTGAAGCAACCTCAGTGGCAAAAGAAAGAAACGTTCTCTTCAAAATAATTCAGAAAGAGGTAAGTGGGCGTATGAAGGGACTGCAAAGCGGTAAATGGATATAATCAATTTTTCAGTGGATGTTAATATATAAAGCTCAAACATTCGCACTGGTGCCGGTCTTCAAAATTTTCACGAACCAAAGCCAAGATTAAAGCATAATTTTCATCATTTGCAAATAACTATAGAGTAAATGTTACTTGTTTTTGTCTGTCTTTCATTAGGTTTTTTAACAAATCATTTTCTGAATTCCTTTTTAATTTTTTACAGAGGGATCACCCAGAAAACGTTAAAATCATTAATGTAGAAAGTCTGGTGGAAATGACATCGTTTGACTGGACGAGCATTGACATAACACCGTGCTTTTCATATGCCAATAGAACAACATTTTCGGCCAGATTTTTTAGTAAGTAGGCTCTTAGGAAGATCTTATTTCTCTCTTCCTTTTCCCCATTTTTCAAAGCAAAATAGCAAACCCAGTCCCTGTGGGAGAAAAAACATCCCAAGGCCAGCTGATTTATTATGGACCCACTATGGAAAATTTCCATAAGTTTATCTTTTTCAAAATACACTTTGCACCAAGGAGCGTGGAGGGGATCTCATTTTAACACTTCGCTTTTCTTGATAACCTATTTTATCAGAATATTTTCATTGATTTCAGAATCTGTATATTTACTTTAAGATAGATGTGCACTTGTCCAAAGGCAGGTTACATCCTTTTGAAGCAGCGGGATTACTACCCCTGCTAAAAGGGTCGTTTTTACGCACGAAATACTTGTTTCTTAAGTCAAAATAATTATTTTAAGTGTTCTAATACCTACCTTCAAAGTGTATATTTGAGTTTTGAACTCAATAGACTGATAGTCGCATGGAACGAGACAAATTCTCATTCAGAATCTACGTACAGTACTCTGTTGAATTAGACCGAAAATCTTCCTTGTTTCTAATCGGATTCATAGACAACAGCCATTGCGTAGGTCTTAATCTACTTTTCCTTCACATTAAGAAATATCTCACTCTATGTAGACGGAATAAAATTAAACCGCGCATAGGATGCCTGCAAAAAGTATTTGGAAATGCAAAAGAAAATGGGTTTTCAGTCCTTATATCTACAGGGTCCTCAAAAGGCAGCTGATCTAAAGAAAAAAATGAGAAAGTGTATAAGTGTATAACTGGAAAGAATATTTGTTATAGCCTTCTAGGATTCTCTCCCTTAAAATTTCAACATGTACTTTACATCATTATTTGCAAGAATTTTTATTCTCAGTGTGCGAATGGTGTATATGGAAGGTGTCTTTGTTGTGTTGTAAATGTAAACGTTGTGTATAGTATAAAAAAGACCCTAGGGAAATTCCTGAATCGAAATTTTTCCTTTGACGAATATAGTTTGAATACTAGAAACTTGTATGACATATAGGATTTACTGGTCAGAACGATAAATGCTTTTTTTTATTGTTTTAGTGCACAAAATTATACGTCACAACCGAACACAATCTCAACTAAAACAATGCATTGTCAGTGAAACCTACAAATTTTATTATTCAACTTTAGAACATTGCCTATGGAAAAACATACTTTCAACATTTAAATGTCGAACATGGTAAATTCACTCTCCTTTTCAATGAATATTTTATCTAATCGATTTGTCATTGACAAAGGCCAATACAAAGCGTTCTGTCACCTTTGTGTTTTCCTTTTATTTTAAGTCGGTTCGCAGGAGAGTGATCTAGACGCAATTGGCTTCGAGATAGCAAAAAGAAAAATCCATAAAAATTTGACGGAGCTGACAAATATATCTCCTCTGAGACTTACTGAGATGCAGGTAGGAGCTATAGCTGCATTTTGCCTTTCATCGGAGTGCGTGCTTTATTTCATTGTACAAGTGGGTAAGGCTGCGAGCACTTGGTAACCTATTCTCACACCTTTACAGTGAATATATAACCTGACAAAATGGACTCTAATTGCAAAGACTGAATGAGCAACAATATCAGACAGCAAGCAACATTTGCAATATTTGCATACCTATTAATATATTCCACTTTTGGTGTAAAACGTAAAGTAATCGAAATTTAAACGTATCTGGCCCAATTTCATTTCAGATCGACTATGATGGAAAAGACTACATATTTTTCGTAGCCACGCTGTTGCAGAAGGCGCCATTAGCCAACCCACAAGCATATAATACAAAACCAGAACCAACCTTACATGGAGCATTTAAAGTGATCCAAGAGAAAATAAGCTCAAAAAGTCCACAGTTTAAAATCCTTATCTCGGGGCCAGGAAAAACCATTGTAAGTCAGACCATCATGCCGCCTCTCTTGCGAGGTGCTCTGGTAGCTTGAGTGTACAAGGGCGTAATGTCCATCTTCTGAAATGTCGCTTCCTCGTGAATACAGATATAGATGTGATTAAATTTTATTTTCATGTTAACAATTTCTACATTGTGTCTTCAGCTTGTCCTGTTGCAAGGCGATAGTGCGGTAGTTGTGACATACGCTGTGGAACCGACTGCCTTGCCCACGCCGCCAACGCCATCGCAGTTACCCCCAACACCTTCGACTACCTATCCCACGCCTTCGCCGATTAAAGAGACAACATCCTCTGGCTCTATGGACACGACAACGGAAACCAAATCTACGTTGACAACTTCAACAAAGACGCCTGAACCAACAAAATCAGCTATCACATCAAGTACATTATCTAGTGTGACACCCAAACCGTGCACTGTACCAACAGTTACAGCAAAACCATGCACGTGTCCTACTTATACAAAAAACACTTGTGCACCATGTCCAACAGTGACGCATCCACCAACACCAACACCAAAAATTGTCACAAAGATGGTTACAGTACAGGTTCCTTGTCCAACGGAAACGGACTCAACGACAACAGTTTTACCAACAACGGCATCGGTTGTCACCCCCTCGGCGGCTGATGTTAACAGTACAGATAACCCCACGAACGAGACTGAATGCGATGCTGAAGAATATAGGAAACTTCTTGAACAGCGCAACAGAAACAATGAAATTGGACCAGGTATGATATTGCGAAGTTTCATTCTATAATAGCGAAAACTGACAAAACAAACTACCGTTTTATTGGTATTGCGATATCTTGACCGTAAATATATATATATTTATATAATATATACCAGTGTTATATTATATGCCATTGAATCAAATATCAGAATTTTGTTATGTCAACATTAACGTTAGAACTTGAATTGTGCGAGCCATTTTATTCTTTTGCAATAGATCTAAGGCATACATTTACCATTACGCTTTTCTAAAAAAAATGTGTCTATGTCTTTCGTTTAGGGGCAGTCGCGGGAATTGCATTAGGAATGCTGTGTGTGGGCTTGTTACTTGGTTTTGTGGCAAGCAGAGTAGCTTGTCGGAAGAAAATTTATAAAAGGAACAAAAGAGAGTCAATAGCCAATTTCATAAATGACCAGTACAACGAAGACGCAACTCCGTATTAGTAGCCTTAGTACCTCTTCTCATGTGTAACTGAACGGACATCAATATTATCTGCCATAAGATGGCTTAATACATGTTAAAAGGTTGTGCGTTCAGCCTCCTCAGTTCTGATCGTGATGACGAACTGCACCGTCTCGACAAAACATGGTGTTGATTCGTGCATAATATCAAGGACATCCTTGGTAATGTACTGATTACAATGTTCAAATCAGGACTACTGACAAGGAGGGAAAATCTTTATCTATCCTAGCAGCGCAACATACATGAACAGAAAGACGCTGAATATAACCTGCACGAGTTGTAATTCTAGTTATATAATTTATTGGTTATTGTCAGAAGTAACAGACATATTTTCCTGTTGTCGCATAAGAAAAAATATTTAAATGTGATATAACATTGAGCTTAACTTATCTTGTGTTATATATCTCTGTCAAATTGTATCAGTTGGCCAAATAGGCGTGACATTTACTTTTTCATAAAATACCAATTTATGACATCACTCAAGTTGTGACATTTTTGGTAATGATACACTTTACAACGCATTACTTTATTACACCTGTCTTTTAAAAGGTTAATGATTTATTCGATCAACAGCTAAAAGATGAGGCCGTAACAAACAAGTTTAATGTTAGATTGTGTATACATGCACCACACAGTATCAACCGTCACTTAACATGAAGCTAGGGTTTGGAGGGCAGATACGTTATATCAACTGGTACATGTACATAGGGTTTCTTTTATAACAATTATCATAAATTAGAACAATAAAAAACTTGAAATAAAACAAAGGCAGAAACCCATTTCCATCCAGGTTTTTAATTGGCTTTTCTTGTCGTCTTGGGTGGTCTTTTGTGGTGCATTAAAGGTTATTCATATAACACGATACAAAATGAACTGATATCTACGAAATAAAGGGTAGATCATATTCTGTACCTTCGTCTACTGCACGCATTGCCCATCAGAGTCCAATAATTTAAAAGGTATACTGTACGCAATGGAATTTTCTCAAAGTTATATAATTATGTCTACATATCCCGCAAAGCTACTAATCTTTCCCAATTCAAACCTTAAAACTATGTTACCTGTAAAATCCCTCAAATATTAGCATCTGACGACGATACACCCTTCTGAAATGGAAATGTACAGGAGACAGCGCGTTTTATAAAATAACTGGCTAGTCGTTTAGAACTTAATCAATAAATGAAAACAAAATGGAATAAAACATCGAAAAAAGTGCAAGGACGGGTCAAGTAATGATTCGTGAGCAAGGGAATTTTATTTTTTATTAAAAATTCCGTATATGTTTTGGGTAAGTTTAACGTTCAAAAATGTGAAAGAATTATCCCAGTCATAAACACACGGATCAGTGTCTGATATGCGTCGTCTAGTAGTCAGAGAGTAGTCAAGTGTCATTTAGAGTGTATGCATACTTGTCTTGCCCGCGGTTGCCCCATCCCCGGACGTTTTCCGTTGTCATATTAGTACCACTGATATTAAAACATTACAAATACCTGCTCATTCAAAATATGATTTTTGATAAGCCTACTGTTTAAATTAATAAACGAGTGTCGAACATAGTTGTGGGTTTTATCGTTGGTGTTTTCCGTCATATGAGTTTTATGAACTTTGAATGTGTATCGAATTCCTTAAGATTCATGTGACAGGTATGCTGCCAATAAAACGAATAAACACATTAGATTTGTTTAGCTGTTACACCACTTGCGTTGTTCCCCTACAAAAGAAAACTTAAGTAATTTTGTTACGGACTATAAATGCTCTTAACTTAAATATATCTAAAAAACTTATTCTTTTCAAAATACCACAAATTATAGTCACTGCATAGTCAAAAATCCAATAGAGATGTAATATGTTTTAGCTTCACCTGAAAGAGGGAGGCAACCGGAACAGCGTAGGTGTACTCAAAGTCGTTTACAAACATGGCCGCCGCAGATCTTCTGCGAGTACGGCTTCCCTACCCATGGAGTTACGGGGTCACGGAAGATGGCAGGGTATTCTTTATAAAGTAAGTGCCCAGAATATTTAATGATTATTATATGGGTTGACATTTGAAATTTATTGATCATTCTGAAAGCACTTTGATAACACGTGTATATTCATCTTTTGACAGCGACGATACGAAAACTACAACATGGTTGCATCCAATGACAAAAGAACCGGTGCAGACAGGGTTAACGGCATCTTCAGGTATGGATATATTTCATATATTGCGTCTATGAAATCAGTTTGTTGTGGCGTTATTTTTTTACTAGCCCTGCTGGGTTTTTTAAAAAGCCGACTGCTACCATGAAAGTAGGTCAAGATGGCGGACAGGTGATTCACAGGTGTCAGTGAGTTTTGACACCTGAGTTTGCACCTGCACCCGGTATTGTACCTGTACTCACAGTACAGGCATTAAGTCACCCTCTTTCTTTGAAAAAACCTAATAAGGCTGCCCTGAATGGCGTCTAAGGCGTGCCCACAGAAAGAAAACACCTTGCATTACTTTTACGTCAATGATTTTTACCTGTGTTTACAAAAAAATTTAAAAACAAATTTTTGTCTGTCGGTTTTTTATTTAAAATATTTTTTGAGTTGATTTTAATGATACTGTTTTCATTTGTAAGATCATAAAAATGATAAATATAATAACCGATATAATAATAATAATAAGGTTTTTGCTATCTATATTTATTTTTTAACATGTTTTTCTTGATCCTTGGATATTGCTTTATATCTCTTCGCCCTATTATTTTGAAATTATCTTCTGCATAGTAAAAGCTTGTATCACAGGATTAATCAGCTATATGGGTTAACCAAGATCAATAGAAAGGTTACATGAGATTGTTCTAAATATGTTAATAACATTCATTCATATTTTTGCAATGATTGTTTGATGTAAAATGTGGCAATTTATTTTTATGGTTAGTATACTAAAAGTTTCAGTAGACTGGTAAAAATAAGCATGATTTAGAGGAATAGCCAAAAATTTGAATTTTAAATTTTTCGTTTCAATTTTTTTATGCTCATTTTCAGACCTGCCAAGAGGTTGGGAACATGCTTTCAATTCAGATGGTGTCCTGTATTTTATTGAGTAAGTATTACTTCTCAGATATACCATTTATTCATGATTGATGTGCATCAATATAATACTTCTCTTTCATTTTTTATTGAATTATGAATTAATAAGAAATTGTTATGCATCCCAATGTAGAAACACGCCTTATTAATATGTCCTATAGATTCATGTAACTAGCTCATGCTTGGGAGCATTTGAGATTGTTGTTCCATTGGCAACTATCATCTGCCCTGTGATATTTTGAATTTAAATGCAACTGTCATTATGTGAAAAAAATATAGAAATATAGATAAATATAGAAAGGAATGATAATTGGATGAAGTGGCAGATTTTTTCAAAGTTTAATATTGTGTTGAAATAGTAGTATAGTAGTCAGATGGAATAGAATCCCTTACCTTGGCTACAGGGAAGCAAACTCCTACTGGGAGCATTCTGAAAGATATTCGAGTTGGGGTTAATCTGTGACACCAATTACTGTACTATATTTTTTTTATCACATTCTTCTTGTTTGTGGCTTAAGATTCCTTTACACCTGACAGTAAAGAAATCAAATTCAAGGGTCAACAGTCTGTCAGCTAGATTAGTGATTTTCAGGTGAAAGTATGTAAGCTAAGAATATCAGTTAATGCACATATATTGTCTCTTCACAACATTTCTTTAACACCTTTGATTCTCACCTTTTGTCGCCAAGCCATATTAAGTTCTGAAAGAGGTAGAATTTATCCCGAAATTGAGTTCTTGGGTGCCGCTCTGTGTAAACGGCATTTTCCTCAAATATCGAGTAAGCCTTAATGGGATTTGTTTAACCCTAGATAAACCATAGCACTTATATTTTTATTTGGATGTTAAATCGTATAAGCTTTGGGTATTGTCACTTTATTTTAATTCACTGGAATAATGAAGATAAGTAAGTTTGAAGTGTTGGCTTATCGTGTGAGAAATATCTCGATGCTGCAAGGCTGTTTTGATGTACAGAGTTTCTATTGGTCAGAGGAGGACTTGTACAGGTAGGGGAAAGATGTTGACTATCTGACTTTGGCTTAAAACTACTTGTCTAGATCCAGCTATTGGTTCAATATGCCAGTGGTTACTAAGTAATTTGTTCGTTACAGCAAAGAATGAGATTCTTTTCACCTGTGGGGAATGTTATTTAAGATATTGCTATATGTGCATTAGTCAGTTTCAAGTTCAGCTGGGAACCATCAGGATTTCTGTCGATAAAGGAAGAAATGATATAATAATGGGACAATGGTCATAGCAAAACAGATGTGTCTCAAATATATCATATTGAGGTAAAAAAAAAGCAGAAATGTGCTGGAAATCAATTAAAAGATAAATAAAGTAACAATGACAAGATATTATTAAAATGGCTGTATAAAATTAATTATGGATAATAGATATGCTTGTTTGGGTTGAACTTTGCCTAACAAGCACTGAACTAGTCAATAGTGAATGCTTGATAATGAGAAGCATTAAATATTAATGATATTAAAGACGTTATTTACAAGTAGTCCTGTGTGGCGACTGCAATGACCCTTGTGTATTTAAATATATTGCAGTACCTGTAAGTGAACATATATTATTGATCTAGTAAGAGTACCTTTAACAGCATATCAGTATTCTTAAGGCTCAGTATGTAGCCCTCCCTGATATATTAAAGGTCGTTAGCGATCATGCTGTGCCACATTTCTTTGTCTTTTGTCCTGTCTGGCAGCTCTGCTCCGTGTTTTATTTTTTTACACTTCTCCCCTTCAATCATCTCTTCAGACTTGGGCATTCGAGTCAATCAGTTAGCATGTAGTTACTGTGATGAAAAAAATTATTTTTTAATAAGTATGCATTCACACATATGCATAAGTGAATTAGAAACGTACTCCATAAGATCTTGTTTTTGATGTTTATTGGAATTGATAGAATAAGAGTGGTTTGAATTGGGAGCATGTTGCACATATGCAGGTATGTTGGTTTAGAGAGGTCATGACTTGTTTTTGAAATTGCTTTTATTACCAACCTGTGTTGCAAATAAATATACTAGAAATGCTATGTATATAAAATGTTAGAAAGCCTCAATATAATAAAAACCATTTCACTAGCTGCCCTTGGATTTTGTAGTGTTAAAGAATATGAAAAGGATACCTTTTTCTTAACCTTCAAGTGGATCATTAGATGTGCATATATGTAATAGGCCAGCCAAGTTTTTCTACTAGAGTTTTTCTTTGATTAATTATATTCTGGAATGGCTTGACAACTGTTAGGTTTTTTATCCAAGCAGCTTGAAATAATTGCTCTTTATTTCCAAGTATGCAGCTATTATTTTTCCGCGTGTCACTTTAAATATCATGGGCATCAATAAATGGGTTTGTGTAAGAATGTAGTAAGCTTGGCACGCATGGTTTGATATATGGGTGATATTATGTCCTTTGCAAGGCAACAATAGCTTGGTGCCAGAGGAATGTGCTTTGAATAAAGTTACTTCACGTCAAAGGTTCAGACCCCCTAAAAATACAATCTCTGCATATGTTTAGTAGAGTATGAATCATTGTATTCATACAAACCAGGTTAATATGTTTGCTATTATGGCAAGGGCTGATGTGATATTATATTAATGTGCCATTGTGATCGTTAAGTATGTATTATAAGAAAAAAGCAGCGCTCATCAGGTGTGTAGCATATGGGTAATTGCAATTTAAGTTATAAAATTATGCTCTAATTATGTATGGCACAAAAAATTCATATTAATAACAATTCATAGTTTAAGGAGATCCCACTCTTAAGTACCATCTTTTTCTTATTTTTGAAAACAATTTAGAGAGTAAATTAATAACATGAAGTGAAAGATTATTAATTGTTGTATCAAAGAGCATGCAAAATAAATGTGAAAATGTTCTTTTGATGGGCAAAGTTGGCAACATCATAGCGAATAGATATAGATATAGTGAATAGTCATTTTTCATTTTTGGTCACAAAATAAGCAAGCATGATTCCATATTATTAAGATCAAGTATTACATTTGCTCTCTATGTATTATCACAGTGGTAATTGTAGTTGGTCTTCTTATAAATGTTGTGTCTGTTTCGTTTATTTTCAGTCATAATACTCAAGTCAGCACATTTACGCACCCTGTCACAGGAGAGGTTATGGCAGAGGAGGGAGCACCCCAACAGTAAGACAGATTTTACTTTGAATTTTTTCTCAGTTTTTTTTTCTATACCCAAGCCTTTTATTAGTCCTTGCACATAGATATTTAAGATCCAGGAGAACACGAGGGTAGAAAAGCTGGCTTTTTGTCTCATTGGAAGGAGGCTCAGTTTTGCCTATGTGTTTATGAACATTTCTGGTGGTTTGTCATTTTTAGAATAAATGCACACATGCATGCTTACACACATACACTTTTCCCTATGTTCAATATTAATATTTCCCTTCATGGTTTCATTTCATAAATACAGACATTTGGTTATCGTGAATGAGATACCTTCCCAACTGCTATTATTAGGGAATCCCTGATAAGGGTTATAAAATAGCAAAAGCTTTAAATGGTGTCTCCTTTTGTTGATGCATCATATAGCTTGTTTGAAAGAAGCAAAATAATCCAAATTATAAACAAATAAATGTATTTTAACAGTGAAGGCTGGGGATGGCTTAGAAATGATTTATTTTGCTCAGTGATGCATTATTTGTACAATTTCAATGATATACCCTTTTTAAGAAGTGTAGATACTTCCCTGCCCCCCTCCCCCCCCCACCCCCCA